TGTTGCATTTGTGCTTGTTGCATTTGTGCTTGTTGCATTTGTGCTTGCTGCATTTGTGCTTGTTGTATTTGTGCTTGTTGCATTTGCGCCTGCTGCTGCATGTGTGCCTGCTGTTGCTGCTGCATCTGTTGCATTTGCATTTGCTGGCAATCCATCGGCACCTGAGCTTGCAATGATCTTCAGCCAAGAGGTACCTCCCCACTAGTTGCCATGCCTTGCGCATGTTCAAGCATGATTGTCATCATGTAAACAAAACCAACTACCCTCCACAGGCCAAGCACTCCAGTCACCTCCAACCTGGGAAAAAGCCTTAGATGTTTCATGTCGAAAGGGGAATGCCTCCCTTCCTTCCTGCATTGGCCTAGATCGGTTCTTCGATTGCTGTCTGTTCTTTTTTGTTTTGGTGTTGCATTTGGTCAACTTGCACAAAAGCGCCGTCCTGCATGCCCTGCATTTGAAGGACTGAATAGTCCTGACCTCAGCTGGTCAAGCAAGATCGAGTCTCAAACACACCATGCATATCCACGCATCAGCTTAGCAAAACAACCGGTAGGGGGTGGAATGATTTGTTTGAGGCAAGCCAACCTGTCATTTGGCGGTGCTGATCAAACGCTTGGAACAGGACATGAGATGTTGTGCAAACTAGCGTGTGTCCAAATGGTGTAGAAGATCTTGACGCGTCTTTTGTATGCGATCTTGAGGTGTCCAAGCAGTACAAGGTCCGTGTTTTTTGGGAAGCCATTGGCCAACAATTCACGTGAGAAACACCATCGCTCTTAGGTTGGAGGCCATTGCTCTTAGGTTGGAGGCCATCGGCCATCGCTTCTAGGTTGGAGGCCATTGCTATTAGTTAAGTTTCCCTAAAATTTTAGGAAACAAATCATTGGTATGAGCGCTTCTTCAAGGAAGCTTCCCCGCCGCCAAGAAGACCGGCGAGGGGAGCTTCCTTGAAGAAGCATGAGATATCCTGCGTCCAGTCGGTAGTAGCGTTCTTGTAGCTACTACCTACCTAGCTACTACCTACCTCTACTCGCGGCCTACCTACCCCCACGCGAAAAAAATCCTGGCCTTGAGAAATCACAACCGAGCGTCTCATAGGCTGCACGCCCATATTACCACTAAAGGCTCCTCACAACATATGTTCATCACTGGACACAGCTCCCATCAGTTCAATCAACAGGAGTTTGAACTGAGTCTGATTCTTGTATCTTGCAAGATGTGATTCTTGCAATGTTTCAAAGATAAAGTTCAATGGTTCAAGATATGTGACTACATTTGTGTCAATCTTCCTTGGCCGATAAAAGTCTCATATTGTTCTCAACATCGGCGTTCAGTCACTGTCCTTGTTGCATGGGCATCCCTTGTCCCATTGGGGCCATGGGACCCATTGGATTGCCCATCGAGCCCATAGGAGTGGGCGCGCAGGGCGCGCAGGGAGCGCAGGGAGCTGCGCAGGGCGCGCAGGGAGCTGCGCAGGGCGCGCATGGCATGCCATAGCCTCATAGGAGTGGCCGGTTCACGCGGAGCAGTCTCATGGACCTTGCATCTGAGAGGGTTCAATCCCGCACGCGTGCCCACCTTCGCATCTGGTTAAGGGCTGCAGAATAGCTAAAGGCTGTGCTCCAAATGAAAAGGACACGGTCCGTGTTTTCAGTCGGTTTTCTCCCAAGTCGGCATAGCTCGCCTTGAGGGGCAAAGCCTTGCATGCTTCACCTGGAGATTGAGAATCCGACACATAGAACCGGACGACGGGAACCTCTGTGTCTGTGTGAGCATGACACTGTATACCTCGTGAACACCGGGTTTCGTTGGAGTCGCAAACCGACCTGTCTGAAAGGAACATCGTGAAAGAACATCGTCCACAAAACCAAAAAAACGATTCTTCCCAACAGCTCGCCCTGCGGTCGCCACCATGGTGACAGCCAAGCGCACAGGCCGCAAGGTGTGGCTTTTGAGGCGGTGAAAAGGATGGGCCAAGAAGATTGCTTCAGGTTGCTGAGAAACAATAACCAGAGTCAGTTGCAGGTCTGGGCATGTCTGGTATTGGTATCATTTCCTCACCAAGGATAGATTTCAAGAGATCTCACATCTCTCTGAATATGCTGCATGGCGCATCCCTCCTCTGTTTCCTCAGCTCTGAATGGGATCCTGTCAAGACACCTGTCAATTGCGGATCCTTTGGCTCAAGATTTCAAGACACCAGGCCTAAGGGCGATGGCCTCCAACCTAAAAGCAATGGCCTAATGGCAAGGGGGTATCCTACGGAGTCTGAGTGCTCTGAGTCTGTGGACCTTCTCATGAGTCCTATGGTCCTACAGCTGCAGCCAAGCGCGGAAGGGAGGCGCGGCGCTCCACCGCAAACACAGAAAAGCACGGGTCTCATCTGAAAGGCTACAGGACACTCAGAGTGGTGTGTCCTGTCTTTGTTCTGCGCACAACATGGGTGTGTCCTGAGTATCTTTGAGTCACAAAGCTGATTCGAACGCTGTGAAACAAGCACTCTTTGACAGCTCAACATGCTGAACTTCGGGGGGGTTCGCACCGCTGTCGAGCTCGCCCGGTCTGCCTCTCCTGAAAGCGCCAGGCCAGGCGTTGTTGGAGTGATACAGTAATGAAGCAATGTGTCTCTGATCATTTCAGGTGCGGCACTGGGCATTTGTATGCATTTGTGCATTCGCTCGGTCAATAGAGCATGTTTTGAAGCAGCTTATTTCATACGATGGACTGAAACTGCTATTGCCTATTGCACGATGACGTTTCGCAGGTGTTCCATACACTGCAAGACCGGCAACAACTAGTTTAGTCATCTGGTGGTGTTTTGACTGGCTTTGCTAGCATGTCAAAGTAACTATATAAAACGCGCTGCTAGTAACAAGAACCTGCTAGGTTGGAGGCCATCGCGATTAGGTTGGAGGCCATTACTACTGGTACCTAGAAGCTACGAACGTAACAAGGGCATTACTAGTAACAAGAAGCTACTGTCAACATTTCAGAAGCATCGATCGAATTGAAGAAACCATGTCGTGGCCATCGATGTCTCCCAAGTCCGACTTGACATCCAGTCAAAACCTGTTTCCACGTTTTCAACGACATGAAGGTGCTGACACACATGGCGAAGCCGACGGCAACGATGCGCTCTCACACGCGCTGGTGACCACGTCTTACTCACCCATCCCAGGGCTCCATGTCAAATCCGCCCACGTGCACAGCGCCATTGCTGCAACACTGCTCGCCTGGCAAATGAGGCAGTGACTGAAGCAGTGCCTAGATAGCATCTGGATGAGCCTTGGGATGCTCCTACAACATCAACCAACCCGCCCGTCATACCACTTTCATCCGAATCCAACATCCGACGTGTTCATTCGCGGCGTCGTAATTTCGTATGTCCTTCTTTCTGTTGCGTGCCCCTCTTGGACCATGATCCTTTCGTGTAAAGCCGCAGCGTTCCTCCCTGGACCCGGCCTACGAAGCATTTGATGGCTGACCTTGGTGGAGACAGGACACAAGAAGGGACACAGAGCTCAGCCAAAAAAAGAAAGTACAAGGAAACACAACATATATACACAGGATAGCTTCTTAATGGCATTATATACCTCATGAATTGATTGAAGATAGCGCAGGCCAAAAAAAAAATAAAAACACCCAGAGGCCCAAAGGGGATGAGCTCCTTTATCAAGGGAGTCAGTCTCTGCGCATTTTGTCTGGTTCTTTGCTAAGGGCGGATTTGGCGGACGCTTCAGAGAATATCTTGAGGATTCCACAAACCGACCACACCTAAACTCAACTCATCCCAAAAAACAGAAAATCATCGTGAACATCCAAAGGAAAAAGTTAAAGGTTTAATACTTTAATACCAAAGCTTGCGAACATCTTTGGTGAGCACGCCGGCACCGAAGAAGAACATCACTATGAACTCACAAAAGAATACCCTCAAACGGCCCTGTTTCATAAAACCCCCCCCCTTAGACTAGACGTGCTGGCCGCGGCCCAAGGGGCGTCTTGCCAGCGCCATTGTGACCCAACAGACCAAAGACCTGCCGTCTTCACGTCGCCGAACGAACGACCACGTGGGCGCTCGGAGGCGCTCGGCGCGGCCGAAGAACCGTGCGAGAGGCGCTCGGCCGAGCACGTCCCCTTTTGGTTTCGCAGGAAGAACAGTGCTCGGTCGGCAAGGCGAAGTGCAAAACGGATCAGAGTTTCGTCTATGCTTTCTGAAACTGCTTGGACCCCTTCCTTTGGCAGGATACGAGCAGATCAGACCAGTCAGATTGTCTCATTTTCAGGGCCCATGTAGCTTGACTGGGCAGGTTCGCGCAGAAGATGCTCTGCTCGAACACTTTAAAAAAATGTCGACACACTCAGTCATCTGAGTCTTCATGATCCGTACGCCAGCGGCTTTCCACCCGACTTGGGATTCAATAAGTTGAAGCACACGAACATGGGAGCACCTTCGGCTGGGGGCATGGCACATTGATCCCAGAAGCACAAGCGAGTGCTTACGGCTGAGCAAAGCTTTCCGCCCTCCATGGGCATCGCCAACTTCGTGCCGCCCTTGATGCAAAGCTCCTTGGTTTGCACCGCGAAGAAAGGCCGGCCGTTTGCTTGAGGTGCCGAGAAGCCCAGACCCATGCCTTAGACTTGCGAGAAGACCAAAACTTGGACCGACATGTCTATGTGCAAAACCAATACATCACTCATATACATTCATATACTACCTACTAACATCTACTAACCATGGCCTCCAACCTAATTAAGCAAATTGAGGATGCAGAAGATGTAGTAGAGCCAGAAGGTGTCGCCGAAGTTGGTGCTCCAATCGAAGAGTTGCTGTCCACTCCATCCATCATCACCGGCGAGCTTTTTGTTGAAGCACACGCAGATCGGGGAGCCGGGTGCCGGAGGGAGAGCGCATTGATCCGTGAGGCAAAGGCAAACACGGATGTTGGAGCAAAACGGATCGCCGATGTCAGTCATCTCGCCTGACATCTCTTCCATACGAGAAAAGAAAAGACACACCCAATGTGGACTCCTAGCGGGTCCTAGCGGCGAATTCAATCTATTTCTACTCAAGGACAAGAAATCGCAACCACACTCGACGCGTTGCGCGACAAATGGTCAAACTGGCAGCAACAAGACTCGAACAATGTCATCCGTGCGAACCAGTGGCACTTGGAGTGCAAGCAAATGTTGACTGCTTCTCCACCGAAGAAGGGATTGCCCACAGCACCGATGCCCACCCCTTCGCAGAAGCAATAGTTCAACCACCAAAGCTCGTTGAACATCTTGTCACGGTCCAGGTTGGGAGAGATGTCTGACTTGGCGATGTCAGGCATGCTGGGCCAATGCGGAGCTGCTAAGAATACAGCGAAGCAAAGTCGGGTGTGGGGAAAAGCTGAGCCGCCTTTTGGCTACAAAAGCGCGAGCGTAAACAACAAAGAGTGTTCTTGCATTGAACCTCTGAGCAGTCCGATTGGAAGCGTTGCATTTGTTTACTTCTGAATCTTAGTTACAAACTGCACAGCGATCAAGAATGTCAATCCGAATTTCGTCCCAATCCCTGCCTCGCCCGAATGGATGGCGAAGGACACGCCTTCACGAAACCCAAAATACAATCCAATACAATGCACACATACATTCCAACTGACAGGTTCTGACTCGAAGCTTGTGACTAGAATTGAAAAGGTCCTTTTGAAAGGGGTCACTTGTCTGGGGATATGTGGGTTTTAGATAGAAAAAGACCTGACAATCGGGCCAAAACATCCAGCATTCTTCATTTTAACTTCAAGCATCACATCAAGCAACCATATGGTCAGCAGGTGCATTGGCTGACGGAGAGCACGTGAGAATTAACTTGTGCACACCATTTCCGTGAATTATACTGAGGATTGTTCGCTTCGTGCAAGACCAGCACATTCCTTTTGTAAATTGCAAATTTCAACACGATCTTTGGTTTGCTACAACTTCCCAATTCAGGTTTCATTTGGAAGATATAGAAGGAATCGAACAAGTGCAACCAGCTTGTAAATGCAGAACAGCCCTCAGATCTTACATCCCCGAAGAACTGCCAAAATGCCCCATTTGTTGGGCATTCGGCGTATTTCACCTTTGGCTGATGCCACCAGGCTGATCAGATGTGCACACGGCTTGCCGAGTGGGTTTCAGGGTGCGTCGGGAAGGCATGCGTGTTGAGCTTGGGCATTCGGTCGACCCATACGTGAGTCATCAAGACCTCAACCAGAGACTCTTCAGAAGGCATGATTTTTCGACACCACCATGGCCGAACGAGATTCCATGCTGCCCATCCATCTAGCTTTCTACACGGACACTTAAGGCATCACTTGGCCTCACAGGGCTGGTTCTTCCGGTAGAAACAAGACAAATCCGTCTCATCTGATCCACCATCCTACTGCATCAGACTCGCAAGTGCCGCGGTAGGCTCTACTTCCGAAGGAGGCAAGATGTGAAGGCCTGCGACCGGACACTCCGGACGGCGGACGCTCCGGACGGCACACCGACTCTTTAGGTCTCTCAAGCCGGGGCTTTTGGGTGGGGGGGACAAATGCTGTTCGTCTTTGGCTGTAATTAAAAAGTTTGGATTGATCAGTGAGTCAATGACACAAGAGAGTGAGAGTCAGTCAGAGTCAGTGCGGGTTGGCCATGGAGACTTTGAGTCTATCGTCCAGCCTCATAAGCCACGGCGACGATCTCAGAAACACACTCTTGCCAATAGGACTCTGCCCTGATGCGCAGCGCGTGATGAAAGATCATCAAAAGGGACGGACAAGCACGTTCGGCACACAAAACAAACTTGAAAATCAATCTTGTGGATTCAGTCTTTTATTGGATCGTGCAGGCAGTTCTTCGTTGGGAATAAAATATGTTCAAGTACTTCCCATTGTCACACCCCACGACATCTCAGACGACGTACGGTATCCAAATTCCTCCTCCAGCAGTGTAGCGAAAGATGATCTCAGCTAACTCGAGTCTTTTAAGATGATCTCAGCACTTGAGCGACCGGCAAAACCTCCCAGCAAACTGGGTTCGCCTCTAGCTCACTTGCTCACCGAAGACTCATGGACATGCAACCATGTGTCTGTGTCGGTGTCAATGCGATCAAGACCGAACATGGAGTCTGTGCTCTTTTCAACCAGGAACATCATGTTCGCTTCGTCAGGTGCGCTTCTCCCTCAGGGACGGATGGGTACACCTATCTGGTGCCCAAATGCGGAACCGAAATTCGTCCGTCCGCCTTGGCTCTGTGCCTGGCCGAAGAGCGAAGAGCGAAGCGATCGGCTCATCTTCCGGCCCCAGGCGATCGGACGAAGGGGGGGTCGACGACGGAAGCGATCGGGTGGGAGGCCATCGCTATAAAGTAACCAGGGCATCGCTACGAACGTAGCAAGGACGCTACGAACGTAGCTCCTGGCATGATTACTTTAGTATATAGCAAGAAGCTAGGAACGGTTGGAGGCACAGAGCATGACAGTTTGACCAAGCTCGTTCTGGGCGACCAAGTTCGTTCGTTTTTCTGCATTTCTTGAGGGCCGCATCTCGGCGATGGGGAGATGCATCTGATTTCATCGATTCCTTCGTCTGTTCGATACCTTTCTTGGCCCCATTTAGGTTGATTTCCTCACCGGCTCAAAACAGAACAAAAAAAAAGACACAGATCGGCTGATTCCGGCGACCTCTGCACAGTTCTGCAGCATGACACCAGCCCAGCCTTTCTCCTTCTCCTCCGCTTCCGGCATTGGCTCTGGCTCCTGCACTTGCCGACATTGCCACAAAAAGGGTAGAGAGTGGAACTATGGCCTATCGGAGCCTCTCAGCATCCACACAGCTGTGAGCCTGCAAACCTTGTCCCAATACAACAAATTTTGGACTCAAGACCTCACAAGTCTTGCAGAAAACACCACCTCCATCAGCAGGAGGCCCGATTCAACCAGGCCACTTTTGCTGTAGGAGACATGTTCGATGTTAAGTATCTCACAATATCTTACCACTTGTGGGATGTTTGTACATTAGATTCATTTTGCGTGTATACTGCCGAGAAACTCCGGCAACAGCAACCCCCCCTCAAAAGAAAACATTCGTTCAATCGTTCAAACCTCCTCATCCGCATTGGAGACATGGGCAATGGCCACGATGATACTCCTCAGCAAAGATCTAAGTTCGGGTGACAATGAATCAAATTCTTGCTTTGGTGCGGCGGCCTCCCTTTATTTTGGAGGCATTGTGGCGCCACGCACTTTCCAAATGCTTCAAGAAGTAGGCCGGCAACACCCTTTTTGCCACTCCCAGTGTCATAAAACCCGACCAAACACCTTCCAGAACCTTCCATAACCTTCCCAACACCTCCACATCCCTTCTCTTCATCGGAAGGACTGCACGATCCACGCAGATCCTGCCGGGTCTGCCGTGCCGTGCTCCGTCTGCCGTCTGGGCATCCCATCTCCCGGTGGCGGCGTGCGGCGGTCTCCACGGCTCGCTGCACGACATCCAGGTGCTCCAGGACCTGCAGATGTTCGGTTCAAAGAAGAGGTCGAAGGGGTCTTTTCGGGAAAAAGGAAAACAAGAAGAAACACGAAATCTTACAAAGCAAAAACACAAAAAGAATCAAGAACACCCATGGTTCGCTTGGTTAAGAGTAGAAACCATTGTTCTTACTTGGGCACTTTGCTCTCTTGCGGAGTGCCTTTCACCATACATCGGTTCCTATTGCTTCTAGCTCACACGGCTTTCTGAAGGGCTGTATGCACTGTATGCAAGCTAACATATCTATAGATATACATCGCGCTGAACAATTGAAGGCAAGGTGTGGGTGAGGAAAGATTGGCAAACACAGCATGCGCGAGACAATTCAATTTCGCATATTGCACATACTGGCCGCTGCATGTTGAAAGGAGGAAGCATGTTGAATGCGCTGGTGGTATATAGCGTGAGGTAGTTCCATCTTCCACTCTCGCAATCTTCGTACAACTCACTTTTGTCAGAGGGGCGGCTGTAACTTGACGGCCTCATTTGGCGCATGTTGTCGTCCGACGCCAACACCTGCCGCCTGTGGCTGGTGATGCTGTTAGATCGTTCTTTTTTGCCCAGAAGCTCCGTAATTAGATGCAAAGGGTCTAAAATTTAGAGGTTCAAAATTATTGAAGCACCTGAAATGGCGTTGATCAAAACAAGTAAATATATATATATGTATAATATAAATATATATATATAATATATAAATGTATATATAATATAAATATATATATATTATGTTGTTGGACCGAGAACAACGGTAGCAGGTAGCCTGATTCCGGAGCTCTGTGTTCAGGCAAACCGACGAAAGTCCTTCATCAACATGGCGCATGTTGTCGTCAAAGAGTCCAGGCTTGGAGGAGGAGAGAGTACTTGGAATGCGCTGGGGATTTGAGATAACCATCCTCCAAATCTTTTGCACCCAGGCTTCTACTCGCCTCCAAGACTTCTGCAGCACGGATTAAGCTGGCTCGCCGTCGCCTTTCAGATCTGTGAGCAAGACACTGGGTATGTGTTTGACTGTCAGCCTTGTGGTGATAGACATCATCGGTACTATGATGCACGATGTAGTTCCCAAAGCTGTTTACATCTCTAAGCATTCTAGTCCAGATGTGCCACTATCTACTTCCCACCTAAACTCGCCAATGGCGAGTCGTGAGCGACAGTTTTTTCCGCTCAGCCGCCGCCGGGGCCTTTGTGCTCGTGCGAGAGAGCGTCGGACCTGGTTGCTGTGGGCTCCAACCTACTAGCGATGGCCTCCAACATAGAAGATCTCAAACACTCGCATCTTCCACAGCACTGCAAGCAGTATTTGCCTGAGCTGCTAGTGCTGGACGTATCTCCTCCAAGGCATTGAGGGTTTTCCCAACGTAACAAGCGGCTGATCTGGTACTTTCGACAAACCAATCTCTATGGATCCGCAATGATCAAAAAAACCCTCTGAGAGGGTGATTTCAACACCGTGTATACGGAGGCACTTCGATTGGTAGGGAATGTGACACTATGAATCTGACCTGATAGCAAAAGGAACCTAAAAGCGATGGCCTCCAACCTAGGGACTGCGACAGCATGAATCTTTAGACCCTCTGCAAGGGCCTGTTCCTGTACCTTTGCAATTCCTCGACAAAGGAGATTGATGACAGCAGATTGGGTTGATGAACACCGATGTTTTCCATTTCCTTCAGCCATGAAGGAAAGAGTGCAAACATACTGCTGATCTTAAGAGTCTAGACTCAAAGACCTGGATCCAGAAACGGTTTGTGCCCTCCTGCGGTGCTGAGCTCAAAGACCTTGTCCCAACATGTCTGCAAATGTTGTCTAAAGTAAGTGAAGAATCAAACTGGCAAATTCATGTTTCAATTCGTTGTTTTGCGAAGGCGTGCAACAATTCATGAAAGTTCATCAAAGGTCACAAGGACATCAACTGCTACTTCAACGAAGGCGTGCTGCAATGCGGTCGACAAGTG